GAGGGGTGCTCTTTAATGAATTAGAAAACAAAGAAATCAGAGCAAGAAATTTGCCCCAGGGATCAATATTTTCTCCCTTAATTTTCAATGAAAGATCGTAATAGTCAGGGCAATTACTCATTTTCTTCTTGTGGAAGTAAGAGCTGCAAAAATGAGAGAACTTACTTTGAGTGGAAAAACCTCATTCCTTATATATTATTAGGGTTTCTTAGGTCTGCTGACATATGAGCTTATGAGGTTTTGACACTTGTCTCCTAAGTAACTGTTTGTAGGGTTTTTTTTGTTCATTCTTTCAGCAAGTTTTTTAATTTATACTACTACTTTTTCCCTTAATAAACCTTAATTATGGTTAACTTCTCACCGTACGTGTAGGTGGTTTAGGAGCAACTTTTATGCTATTGTTGGTGGTATTTTTGTATTTTTGGGAAAATTAACAAAAATAATAAAATAATACAACGAAATGGATTACAATTAAGTAGGGTCCAATATTAGCTTGGCCTAATGGTGGATCGGTGCACCCCTTTTCTTGGACTTCAACCACGCTTTCTGAATATCGATGAGCCAACCCACAACCTCCTTGTAAGAGTTTACTCCGATGAGTGTCTTGTTGTAGCCTTGTCATCACTAAAGTCAAACAAAGAAGACCAAGGGCAAAAATTTATGGAGAAAAGAAAAGGTGTGGGAGTCAAGCACCCAACTAGTTAGTGAAAGCATGCATGTTTAAGAAAAGATACTCAAGAGATTTGTGAATGTAAAAGTACGAAAAGATCTCCTGTTAATTTTTTGGGTAAAGAAAGATCTCCCAAAAATTGCAAAAGGGCAACAAGGAAAAACCTGGAGAGGTAACCATACTTCGATGTTTACATAATAAGTGATTTTGATTCGTTTGGGGTGATTTGTATGGTGTTTGGGGGATGATTTCCTTGTTTTGGTATTTGGTAATGATGGATTTTATGTCTGAGCGGTTAAGTTTGATGGAAAAAAAAGGATAAAAATGACTATGGTTTTGAATAAAATCCTTTGGTTTCTTTTTCCCTTTGGAAAAATGGCTAATGAATGATATTTGGATGTTGAATCTTTAAAGACCGGTGAACGAAGATTTCATGATCCATGAATGAATGATTTCCCCTCGCCCTGAATAAGAAAACTCCAGTCTTTATATAGAGGCTTGGAGATAAGTGATAAATATTTGATAATGAGATATATAGAATAATTAATAACTAATAAATAGAAATTAGAATTTATATAAGAATATAAATACATTAGAAAATAATATGGAAAATGATAGAGACCTAAATAAGTCTAAGTGCAATTAGGAAAATTATTTATTTAAAGTAAAGATAATTACTCTATGAATATCTCATCATTTTAATAAGATAAAAAACAGTGAAATAATAAATTTATCTAGACATAAGGATGTCTAGATTCATTGAATTTAAAATAAATAAATAAATAAATAAATAAGAGATAATACAAGTGATTTATATAAGGGTTTTAGGACAATAAATCCTAGAAAATAATTTATAATTCGATAAATAAATATAAAAAGGATAAACGCCTAAAATAATATTTTTTTTATAAGATAAATGCTAAAATAAAATTTATATAAAATATAAATCGAGATTTACATAATTTAACTGATAAGGTAAGAGATAAACTTAGAAATAATTTATCCCTTGAAAAAATTGGAAAAGAAATTATTAAGGCATTTTAATAAAAAATATAAAGGAATTGACCAAAATGCCCCTTACAATTTTTGTACCAAAATGAGAGAATCAAAGTATTTTAATGCAGGTCAAACCTTTAAGAGGGGGTTTTAGTAGTTTTGGAAACTTTTTTCGTGCTTAAGAAAATCTGAAATCGGAATTTTGCGTAATACAAAAACGTTGTAAGAGTGGAGTTTTGTAAAATTCATAAATAATAGAATATGCATGATAAAAATATGAAATTTGAACTTGTGGCTATGCAGGCATTTTAATAGATGGGAAAATATAAAAAGCCTAGAAAAAAACACGCTCTAAGAGGTTGAAACTTGCATAGGGCTATTTTGGTCATTTTGGGATTTTGGCTTCGTTGGGCTAAAATCATTATTTTGATGCCCAGATCAATAAAGATTAGTGCTTTGGGATTAATATGATTTTTGTGAGATTTTGGAGTTTGGAAAGTATTTTTTTCTTGGTTTTTAAAAGATGGGCTTTGACGCCTATTGATTTAAGATGTCCAATTAAGTACTCCAAGTGGGCCTAATTCAAGGAAACATCTCCACCTAATAAGCCTCTTTGGATGCTCTAATAGTCTAATCACTAATGTCGTCACCGGGTAACCCATAAAGATTGTCCAATTGAAGTGGCTTGGGTCCATCGGAACTTACTCTTGTTTACATTGGTATTTTGTTGTAGGCCGTTGCTTATGTCAAATCCTCATGTTGGAATGAGCTGAGCTTTATGTTATAAAAAGGCTTGCCAAAAGATATTTCCTTAGTCTTGGATTAGAGTGGGCTTTAAAAAGGTGCCAACAAGCAGTCATTTTGGCCTATTATGAAGCTTTGGAGCTCGATTTGTGGATTTGTACCCCAATTGAGTATTAGTTGTAGAAATTGGCATGCTTGACCAAACTGGCCATCAACAACTATGAATTTGTAAAAGGGGACCTTAGGTGAGACGAATTAATCACACGTTACCTCGTCGGGTAAGACCCACACAACTTTTGGTTTACAGGAAGGTGAATGTGGGTTAATGGCCATATGGTCGTTTAGGTGGCCACACCTTAGGTGGTTGCCCCTTTTTAGCAAGGATGAGCTCCTCGCTAGGCAATCCATGGTCCTTTTCCAATTTCTGGTTGCTTACTGACATGTGGAAGCCCTTGAGGAAATGATTATTTTTAGCCCATTTAACAATATTTTTGTAAAAGTTTAAACGATCGTTTACTGATGTTAGAAGATAAATTTTAATGGATGAAAAACTCAACAAAGGAACCAAACAATGTCTTCTTCTCAACAAATTAAGCTTCAATAATGTTGGATGTTGGAAGAACTACTTGATAAGAGAGAAATATTGAGAGAAGAGAAAATAGGTGTTTGGCTAAGTGTTATATTGAGACATGAAATGTATGAAAGGAATATTTCAGAGAGACTTCATTTTCTGGGCTATTTTTCAATTCAGTCCCTCAATTAGGGATATTTAATATAATTTCTCAAATGATTACCTATTTAAATTTATTATCAAAACAAAAAATGAAAAGTTATTTTAAGGGTTTTAAAACTCGGCCCGACCCGGCCGATTGAATTGGTTCGACCGGGAACCGATGACCAGACCGGGTCGGTTCATGTTAAAAATCGAAAATAACAATTGACCCGGTTTCACTTGCGGTTGAACCAGTTTTTTGCCAACGAACCATCGGTCCAATCAGTTAAACTTGGGTTGCCACAGTAAAAATATTGAAAAATAATAAAATTAAAACTTAAAATAACCATTTTCAGCTTTCCTCTTCGTCCTTCCCCATTTTCATTCGACAAAACCAAACCAGCATCGAAGAAAAATTGAAGAAACCCATTACCAAAAACGAAATCAGCTTTTCTCTTCTCCCTTCCCTAATTGTATTTAACAAAACCAACACCAGCAGACAAGAAAAATGAAAAAACCCATTACGAAAAACGAAATCAGCTTCTATGATCTTGGGCTTCTTTGATTCATATTTCAATCATCAAAATCTTCAACTAATCTTCAATCTTCGGGCCTTGGACGAATTCTAAATCTCTAATCTTCCAGATTCGGTTTTCATAGCTTCTTCTTCTTTGATCTTTGATCTTCGACAACTCCCTCAAGGTATGTGTATTTCGTTGTTGTTATCTTGGTATTGTTATTGTTCAATGTAAGTTTGGTTTTTGTTTTGCTGTGAGATTGTTTGAGATAGAGTCATAGAGATTGTTTGATTATTGATATTAAAGAAGTGGGTTTGAAACTTGATATTGAAGAGGTGATAATTTGGTGTAAGATTGGTTGTGTTTGAAAATTGAAGTGTGTAAAAATGGTTGGTTTGATTGGTTGTGTGCATTTTCACACTGCAATTTTGCACACTGCAGTTGCAATGTCATAGCTATTTTAGGATACTAAAACTTTCTTCTCATAGCATACCATTATTGAGAAGCCTAGTCCCAAAATCCTGTCAATTAACCGTTTGTGTTGGTCAATGTTTAATTTGTTATTGTTAGATGAAAGCTCATATCATGTAAGATTCTAATTCCTTAATTAAATACTCCACTTCGTGACTTAAAGCCAATATCAAAGGACTAGCAATTTTCTTTACACGTTTTGCCATGTTGAATGGGTTCCCTAAAATTACATTATTTAATTTAGTTTGTTAAATGTTATATTACATTAGTCAATTTGGTTTGCAATTAAAACATTTAACTAATAACTTAATTTTTGCTTGCAATTTTTTGTAGATGTTGGTTATGCTGATGATGACAATGACGAGGACAACGACGAAGATTATCTTGATATAAGTAATTTTGCTTCTGGATTTAGTGTCCAAAGTCAGCCTTAACTTGAATTAAATGGAAATGTAATAGAAATATAAGATATTGGTTTCATTTTGATTATGTTGTTTTAATTTAATTTTAAACTACTTGTTACTTTATAAACTATACTTTATAACTTGGTATGTTGTAACTTGTAGTTTTAAACTTTTAAGTTTTAATTTCATTTTAGATTTGAATATGTTTGGTAAAGGAATTTTTTATTATCACTGGCAAAAATAAAAATCTGTATTTTTTTTAAAAAAATTTGTTTTTGGCTGATGTCACTACCGTTCAACCCGTAAAACCCGTGACCCAGTGGCTTGGCCGGGTTACCCCCGGGTCGGGTTTTAAAACCTTGGACTTATTTATCCTTATTTTCATATTTGTAAAATAACAAATTACTAATTAAAGGAGACATTTTAAAACAATAATAAGAAAAAGAAAATATCAACAGCTGCCTTCTCCAACGTCTCCTTTGTTGTTCTTCATTTACATATTATCTACCGTAGTCAAGCCCATCCGATTCTTCCGCTTTCCTCAAATCACAAGGTGCCTTCATAATATTCGACCTTAATTTTGTTCTCAATTGATGCTTTTATGCTCTTGATTATTTAAGAATCGTAGGGTTTATTTAAAGATTAGAATGTTTGTATTTACTTAATTAGAAAATGGTTTACAAAATTAGGGCTTTGTTAGTTCACACTGTTGATTTGAGTTTCAACTATCTATTTGGAGTTTTATGCTTCTTAATGAGCAATCTTTTGTTTGGGTTTTAAAAAAAGATATAAAAAGTTTGCATTTGTCTCTGCTCTCTATTTGATCTTACCGGTGCTATACTTCCAAGTTGGTTATTGTATCTTGTAGCGGGATTTTGTGTTTCATGACTTCTCAGGAGGGTCACAGTAACTGGTAGGAAGCTTTTCGGGTCTTTAGTAGTTGAAAACAACGTTTTGTATTATCCAATTCCTTATTATAAGCTGGTTTGAGAGTCGGTTTCCCCATATTGATTAGGTTTTAGGTTTTAGGGTTTAGGATTTAGGGTTCAGAGTTGAGGTTGAACCTGGAGGAATTTATGTAATTTGAACATAGTTTTGTTTTAGATTTTCAAGTGATATGGTTTAATCTGAGTCTTTAACCTCCCATATCATGGACAGTGACACCAGGACTAGGTAATACAATCTTCAATGTCTAGAAAATGTTAGTTCATTCTGTTTGGACTTGGATGTATATTGCAAAGCATACATAGACTAAAATGTGGGATTTATTTCGTCTAAAAAAGTCATATTTAGGTAAAATCCCATATTTTTATTTTCTCATTTAACACAATGGAGATGCAAACATCTTGTGCCTATAGCTTTCTTTGTGGTTTAAAACTACTATGTATATTATTTTTGTTACTCGTTTGCAAAGATGATTTTCTTATTTGTATCTTGTTGATGCTTGAGTCTTGATTGCTAATTTGAGCATGTTCTCCACCCCTGAAGACATATGTAAGCGCCCCACCTTTTAATTTTTAGTTTTTAAGTCTAAATTAAAATTTCAAGTGATAATAAATCAATAATTCATTTGATTAAGAGTTTAGAATTTAAGTTTTCAAAATACAGATGAAATTGTGATTTGTTTATAGTAAAGTTATGTTGGCTTTTGAATGATAAGTGGAACTGATGAGAGCCAAATATTAGCTGATAATGATCAGAATTTGAGTTTTTAAATATAGATGAAATTTGAATTGCTTAATTGCTGTATTGATTTTTGTTTCAATTTTGAAGTTTTTTCACTTTAAAATATATATTTGATTGCAGTTGCTGGAAACTTTACCCGTCCTCGTACTTATAAATGGGTCTTTTTCTTTTTCTTTCTGCTAATGCCTGGTTTGTCTATCTGTTGATTGCTGATTAATTTAATTGTTCACTGGCCAGGTAATAAAATTTGTTTAGTAAACTTGGTTGCTTTTGCTTAATGTCTTCTTCTCTTTGTTATTGTGTTTGCATCTTTCAATTGACACTTAATTGTAACCTCAAAGTTGAAACCAACTCCAATTTGTTATAAATTTTTACGGTATACCACATTTATATAAAATATATTTTATTGCCTTAGATAATATATTATATTTTATGCATTTGGTCACATTGTATTTGTATAAATGTTAATTAGCTTGGGTGAGTATCACTTGAATTAACAAAATGCTTCATATATAGTCAATAAACATGTTTTAATTTTTGCTTTTAAGTAGTTGTTATTTGTCCACTGAAAAAAAAAAATTCAAATCACATGTTTTAATTGCTTTTTACAATAAAATGAAGTATTTCATATAATTCACTAGGAATTGGGTAGAATGGAGAAATAAGGCTTCAGCTTTAATGAATCGATGTTACATAATTTCGGTGGAATTATTTGAATCTTAATTTGGGAAATCTTGTTTCAATTCATTGTGTAACTGATTATGTATCATATGAAGCGTGTCGAAACAAATGTTAATGTGCCAAATACTTCCATTTAATTTTTTGATAATGTGCTTGCTAATGTAGATGTCAAATCAAATTTTGGGAAGAAGACGAAAAACAACTGAATATGTTAATCCTTAGGATGTGATTGAAATTGAAGACTAGTGGGCTGGGTTCAAATTAGGTGTAGATAACTTATACTATTATGTGTACACATAATATTGTTATTAGATGCATACACACGTAATATCTCTTCTATCCGTGTTTTTCAATTTACATATAATGTTGATATTAAATGCATATACACAAGCCTTGTGGACCAGCCATGGCTGCCTGAATTTGTGGCACTAGGTTTTCATTGAATAGATATAGAAACCGAAATCGCAGGGGTCTATTTGTATGTTTTCTCAAACCAGCAGGGGATCAAGGGGTCTATTTGCAGGTTTTCTCAAACTTGCATGGGATCGCAGGGGTCTGTTTGTAGGTTTTGAAACTTTTAGGGACCACTCGAGTGGGTCTGGGCTTTTTTTAACATCCCTACTTTTTAGAGTTAAAAGTTCACATAAATTTTTTTAAGTTATAAATATCAATCGTCATCCCTTTGCAAAAGATTTAATTCTCAATTTAGGCTGAGTGGATAAGTCCAGAGCAAATGATATCTAAAACTTGGTTGTTTGGTTGCCGTTAGATCTGCTGACTTCTCAGGTCCTCTATCATTGTCTGTAAACAAGCTCAAGGGTTTAGGGCTTATTAGAAACAGAACAAGAACACCAACTATGAATCATTAAGAGAAAACAACTAAACAAACCCAGCTGCTCCACTTACTTCACTTCTTTCCCCTACCTTCAATTTCATTTTTTCATTGTCAAAGCGATGTTGTTTTCAATCTGATAGGATCGCAAAAGATGTTGTTTTCAATCTGATAGGATCGCAAAAGATGTTGCCAAGATGTAGCAGAGTGCTCAGCTCACTAAACTACATAACACATAGAAACCATTTTCATGGCGTTTCTTGCCGAAGCTATGCCATGGCTTGTTCTGCTGCAACTGTGGCTCCAGCTCCTACTTCTACCAAACAAACGGTAATCTAATTTACTACTTTTCCATTTGTGTTAGTTTAGATTCATATGTGATTTTTGTTTATTATTTGGGCAGGTAATTTTGGATAAAATATTTTAGTCTAAGCCTTGTTCCTTGGCTTTGCCCCCAGATTCCCCCCATAGAATTGAAGAGCCACATTATGAGGGTATTAAGCGTTTTATTCTCAAGCTCATGTTGTTTTATAGTAAACAAAGCAAGTCTATTCGAGGTGCAAATGTGATATACCGACGAGTTGTTTTACAGGTTGATAAACCTGCCATATATGATGGTCAGTTCTTTCTCATTTTGGTTTTCATATCCTATCTATTCTTTACTCTAGAATCTTTAAAGTTCGCTAGAGATCATATTTAATTGTACAGCTTTCTGTAGTAAATAGATTATGATATAGGAACTGTGGGAATGGTAATGTAGTAGAAATGATCATTGATGCTGAAAGTTCTTACCCTTCAAATTTGATATCAATGAACACATGTTATGCTGTAGGGTGAAGTTGTCAGATACAACAATAATTTTGTCAATCTAGATGGTTAGGTTTGAAACATGTTTTTCAGTTATTTTATTGTGTCTCCACATTTACATAATGGTATATATTTAAACATTCTCTTTTTTGTGCAGTATTTAACTTGGAGAAAACGTTTAGAATGACATTCTCACTGCTTGTACTTCATATGTGGTTTGTTCTGCGTCGCTTAAAAGAAGAGGGGAAGGAAGGTGTTGAGCTTGGTCAATATCTGTATGAGATCTACAATCATGATGTGGAGCTGAGAGTATCTAAAGCTGGGGTCCGGATGCATATTACTTATCAATTAATTTGGGGTTCTATCTCATATATACTTCATCGCATGTTAAATTTTTCTTTGCATTTTTCCCTCCTTTGTAACTCGAAAAGTTATCAGTTTTGAATAGATTCCTAAATTCCTAATGAGTTCTCAGTTGACCTATGAAAATATTAAAGGCCAATCAAATCATATGAACATATATCTGAATTCTCCTTTTCTTTGGGGGGGTAGGTGTCGGGTTGGGATGGAGGGGGATGGGGTGGGATTGTCTGAAAATTATATAAATTCATTCAGATATAATCTAAAGCCTCATGTTTGCTGAAAAATGTTTAGCATCAATTTATTCCTAAAAGCTGAGACCATAGATAATCAGTTCTTATGTGTGTGCCCCATTCCTGTTGCTGTTGTAGCTCACAATTGGATCCCAAAGATTATTTTAGGTTTCCATCTTTCATCTCATCCATGGGTGGCAATGTTTGGACGACAGGTATAGGAAGCTATGAAGCAGTTTCATATTGAAAGAGCATGTGCAATACTTCATCAGCATTAGCTTTGTATTGGATACAAATGCATTATTAGTGTCTACTTTGCAACTATCACTTATTAATTTTTGCAACGCAGGTTAACTTGTTGTTGTCAAAATGGATGAAGGAGTTGGAGAAAATATTCTATGGAAATATTGTTGCTTATGATGCTGCTATGCTTCCAGAGGCTAAACAGGATGAGCTACAAAATGTAATATGGAGGTAAAGAATTTATAAAAGCCAGTCTAGGCATTGCATTTGACATGTAGGGAGGGACTGTCAGCACTCAAATCTTACCATTTCATTGTCATAGGAGAAATATTCTTGGGTAGATTTGTTTTGTTATAACAAAAATCTCTAATTAAGTGTAACTAGTGTTTATAATTTAGGCAGTGACTTGCGTAAATAACCAGGGGTCCTTGGGTGAGGTTGGACGGAGGCACTTGTGCCTGGGCAGATTTTTTTTTTATATTCTAACTCTCCTTGGCTCAAGTTGTCCTTGTCTTGACACAGCTTTATGATACCGTATTTACCTTTTTTAACACTATGCACTGGAGTTGTTTGTGCTGCAGGAATGTCTTTTCTGATGATGGTACATCAAAGCCAGATGATTCTGCATTAAGGGCAGTTCAGGCATGTTTTCAACTTTGCTTTTGTTAATGTGTTTGTCATCCATGCTGGATGCTCTGTCTCCCTGCATTTTTGCTTTTGTTACTGTATTTGTCATGGATGCTGGATGCTATGTCTCCATTCATTTTACATATGTAATACATATACCAGATAAAGAATGAATCTCTTGGCTGGGATGTTAATAAATGTCATTTATGGAAATATAATCCACCAATCCTCCATAACGGGTGGATAAATGTTTCTTTCCTACAACGAAGGAAAGCTGTGCCATGGTCACTTATTGTTATGTGAATTAGGTGTAGTGAACTATCAGTTTACTCATATAGCTGTTGTGTCTTTCCGTACTTGAGAGCATGCTTTGTCAATCATTTTTGTATAGATCCCCAATACAAAAGGGGGTTACTGGAATTGCCATCTTTCTATTTTTTGGTCTGCAAATTACCATCCTTCTCTGTAATCTTCCAAGATTTTATTGAGCCTTTTCTCTCTTAAATCAAAGCCATAGAATTTCTGTCTTTTGCATCTCTGCAGGCAATGACAATGTATGCCCGTCGGGAAGTCAGTTGCCTGTCTTTAACTGGTAAGTCAGCGTTCCTATTTTCTCTGATATGATTTGATGCTGATATGCTGTGTATCTCTTGGGATAAAAATTTTGTTATGCTGTTTGACAAAGTTGAGAATTCATTGGGCAGATAAAGAAGCAATGTTTTCTGGGAATTTCATGTTCACCCCAGTAGGGACTACAAGATCTGGTCCAGTAACAAAGTAAAATGGAAGCCAAAAACTGAGTATCCATTAATGCATAATGGACATTATGTTAAAAGAATTCTTGCAGGAGTAAGAGATCGGTGCATTGTCATCTGAAGCGTTAAATTCCTTATAAACTTATGTTTAACTGATTTTATGATTGAGTGATTAAGCTGGTCAATGGTGATGATTTTTCATGATCGTTGATTGCTTAACTGTATAACAATTGAATTCCATTTTTTTAATTTTTTGGGGTGAACAGCCCAGAGGGAAAATATAACACTTGGATTTGATAATAAGGTGGAATAATAGTGCATCTGTAGTGTTATATATTTCAAGTTATAGCATTTATCTGAAACTTGTCAAATGTTATGTTCCATCTTTTACTCATTTTGAAGAACATTATGGTCATGGTTTCCTTCAGGGTAAATTCTTCTCAGTAGTGTAATTAATCTGCGCAAAATTGGTTTTCTTTATTAACCCAGAGAAGTGGATACTGTTCTCTCATGTAATGTAATGCTATTACTATGGTTCAATAAAATTAAGGTGTAAAATGTATTACGACATGAATTGAGTTAGATTTAACCTTTTCACCATTTTATGTGCGTCTCTTTAATCAAATGGTAATCAGAGTCTGGTTTTCAACCTTCTCTATATTGTAATTATCGGTTAGGTGATATAAATATAAAATTTTGATTTATATTTTTGACATATATCGCGCTTATGTCAATCTACATATATTTTATATAGGAATAATCTTTATATAGTCATACAAAATTCTAATTTTAATTTGGGATAGTTATAAATAAGAATAAATTGCTCTTTGTAATAAGTTATAATATTTTTAATTCCCTTCTTAAAAAAGTTGTATCCATATACTAATAATTATCTGTATATTAAAAAAAAAAAAAAAATTATATATATATATATAAAGTTCTTTGAGACAATGATTTATCTTTTAGAGTTTTTATCACATCTTTTAACTTACGGTACATAAAAACTCTTTAGCATTGACAATTTATAGTTGAAGCTAAAATATTTCTACCTTCCCAAGGATATTTACAACTTCTTGGCACGAAACTTTTGTATTTACAGTGTTATTATTCTCAGTATTATTTCATTTCTCTTATTATCTAAAGCAATGATTACTAAAACAATGAATTGAAATTTTAATACATACCTCTGTTTTAAAACCTGGACCGGACCGGTTCGATCGGGAACCAGCCTTTACTCCAGTCGGCGTTAACATAAAAACCGGGAATGTCATTAAACCCGTTTTGGACCGGTAATGGACCAGCGGAACAGTACAAAACCACCGATCCGATCTACTCGAGGCTTAAAATGGTTCGCCATTTTTGGGTATCTGATCCTAAAAAATTCATATTCCTAATTCCTAACTAATTTGCAGCACAGTTTCATTCTCCATTTCATTTGAATAAAAAAATCAAATTGCATCTTTCATTTTCATCTTCTATTCTTTTTCACTTACTCTAAAATCCACCGTGTAAAGAAGAAGAAGTAAGGGGAGGAGAGGGGAAGGAAGAAGAAAGAGAAGAGGAGACAAGAGAAAGAGTAAGGAAGAATATCAGAAGAAAGAAAAGAGAAGATGAAGAGAAAGAAAAGGAAGAAGAAAAAGGAGGAGAGAAAAATTAGAGTAAGGAAGAAGATAGAAGAAAGAAAAAAGAAGATGAAGAGAAAGAGAAGGAAGAAGAAAGAGAAGAGGAGAGAAAAATTAGAGTAAGGAAGAAGATTAGAAGAAAGAAAAGAGTAGATTATAAGGAACGAGAATGAAGAAGAAAGAGAAGCGAAAGAGAAAAATTACAATAGAGACTAGGAGACCGAATGTGTTAAAGAAGTGACGGGAGTGATGGGAGAGAGAGAGAGAGAGAGAGAAGAAAACAGAAAAAGAGAGTGATGGGGAAGAGAAAAAAGAAGAAAGATGAAATGATGAAGAAAAAAAAATAATTGATAATAAATCTACAGGATGCATTTGCTTATTTTAAATTTATAGGAGCTTATAGGTACATTTTGGGTGTATTTACTGATTTTCAAACTTATAACAATTAATAAAATGTTTAAAGATGTGACTGTTGTATACCGATCAGACCAACCGATCCAATCGGTTGGATCGATCACCCACGAACTGGCCCTTGATGGGTTAACGAGCGGTTTGGTTTTTAAAACAATGATACATACTACTAAACGTGAATTTGTAACTACACCACTATTAGTTATAATCTCTTTATATTAATAAATTAGTTTAATCTCACTATTATGATTATAGAGAAATTTGATTTTATTACATCTAATAGTAATGGAGTTGATGAGTGTAAAAATAAACTAAGTTCTTTTTACTTTCTATATTCTATGATCATGAATTTATGTTCTAATTTAAGTCAAAATTTTATGTTGATAAAATAAACCTTATATATTACCAAAATTATTTACTTGGCCACCGTAGTAACCAGTAAAAAAATATCTATAGCTTATGCGTAGGGGGTTTTTATCTAAACTTAAGCTGGTCAAACTTGTTTATAAGCTCTAAATTAGCTAACATGTTTGTTTATAATTTTTTTGAGTTTATAAGTTGAGCTTATAAGTTAAAAAAAATAAATTGGGAGGGGAAGATACTTTTTTTTTTTTTTGGTTTATAACCTTTGCTTATAAGCTAGTTTGACCAAATATATTACCACATTATCCTTATTTTAATTTTAAAATTTCATAGTATATCATGTTTTAATATAGTAACCTTTTTTAGTAATTTTATAATAAAATATACTTATAAGCCACATTTTACCAAACACGTCAATTACTTATCAGTCACTTATAAGTACTTTAACCAACACGTAATTGTTTAAAATTTCAAAGCTTATAAATTAATTTTAGCTTATAATTTAAGCAATTTTCATAAGCTTAAACAAACACTCTCGTAATAAAGTTGTGAATTATAATACTCAATACTTAAACGTCTTAATAACTGATAAAAATTTATCTTACTACATTTGAAGACACGTCAACACGGTTCCAATTCAGAAATGAGGGCTACCCTGATGTGCAAAGCCGCTGGGATACTAAATTCCTGCGTCAATGCAACCCTTCTATGGCGCGGGAGGGAAATCTCCGGGGGCATGCTGGTCAATTATAGGAGACAAACTCAGACCAAAAATTCATTCAAATCTGGTAGAATTTTTAATAACTTCCAAAATCCTTCCCACTGAGGAATATGTCCCCAACATTGCACAAATGATGCCTAAGGTAGCTACTCCTGTGCTCAAAACAATCTGACAATTTTGAAAAATTAAGCTAGCGTTAATGAAATTGCAGTGAATCTCACAGTAAAATTTTCGTAATTGAAAAACACACTAGAAAGGGTGTAAAATATGCTATTGGGATAATGATTCTATTCATGTAATAATCATACCTGTGTTCTAGTAGCTTTCCTCCCCATATTTTATGAAACACAATGCTGGCATTATTACAGCCTGAGTACAAGTCACAGAATCATATTTATTGTTAATTTCCACAAGAAAATCCTTGCAAATATTAAGGCAACAAAAAAAAAGGGAACAGACGATACATGTCAGGTTAGCGTAATGAAATATTTCTTAAGCAATGTAAGTTTGCATATCAACTACAGCTACCTTACTATGAAATTATGAGATTTAACAAAATATTTATCTCAGAAAAAAAGAAATATCTTCTTGGAATATAAAACATCCTTTTCAAAGAAGATTTATTTTAATCTTCTTTACATACTGTATCGAATATTAAGATTTGGTATCAAAAGTGATCTTTTTCATGGTCTCCAAGTGTTGTAATGAAATGTTATGCTTACCACAAGTATACTGAGGAGGGAACCAATTAAAGCCATCACAAGACCTGCAATAAACCAAAATAGTATTTGTGTCTGAGCCATGAGATAGTGGAGCAGCTTAAAAACAGCAATTAATTAACAACTCATACTACGAATAATTATAATGAAACCGCACAAAATAGTTTATGCAAATTGCATTCTCATATTTCTTTTTTCACTGAATGCAGGCAATGGAATGTGGCAGACCATTAATGTATTATCAGTTAAGAAATTTTCCTCAAAAGGTCTAAAAAAATATGATTATTGGCAGTATCCCCCGGTTTTACATTTAAAAATCATATATTTTTGCTGATGATCATTAGTTCCTGCAACTTTCTAACACATATAGATGAAAATAAAATTAAACTACAATTTTTCAACACCAAATATTATAAATTACCGAAGAAGGAAGAAAAGCAGCACAAACAGAAGAAATGACGAGTGCAGTCCTTAGAAGAATAAGCACCAATAACTATTCGAAAACCGATGCATAGTAGCTCCTCTATACTCCTGGCCAATGGATTCATCAAGAGCGCATATTTGTTCAAAGTTAAGGAAACAATAGAAATCAACAGTGAAAATGATCAGAAAATTTGTCCGATAACTAATTTCATAACTTGTCTTTAGATTGAGAAGGATATTTAGTAAATGGGTTGACGACCTGAAAACAGCAATGTAGACAAGATTACAGACATGTTAATACAAATAACATCCCAATTCGATAGTCGCGGAAAGAATCCACAATCTCATACTTACCGTAGTCCATATTGCAACTTTAGAAGCAAAGCTGTGAGGTGGCATATTCAAATTTCTGGGACAAGGTAGCTTGGCCAACATAAGATATCCCATCACTGCAACACCCCCGTATATTATAATGCACAAAGCGAAACTGCACAACAGGAAATGTTTAAGAAATAGATACACCTGTAAAGTATATGGCCTAAACACAAAAAATAAACTATTATTACCATACTATCATGCCTTAGTAATTTTTGTTTTATCAGCCATTGATTGGTAGATATTCGGAAACACAGAGTGCCCTGAGTAGCAAAACCCATAAACACCAATTGCAAATGGAATACCACTCCAGTTCACTACTTCACCAGTTTGATGGAAACCAATGCCGTCCGTTGTACCAAGGAAAAACACACAAGAGCTATTAAGATTGTTGCAATGACCCCTCCAGCTGCATATTAAGTAACCAAAAAAAAAAAAAAAATGCTTAGTTTCCGATCCCTAAATTCCTTAAAGTAATTTGATTACAAGTTTGAATACCTGAAAGATATGATATCAAACGAAGATCCCTCAACCACACAGTAGGTAGAACAATGACGGCAGTTAAAATTCCAAAGAGGTGAATACCGTCAGCTGAAACCAAGCCAACCCAAGGATGCTCCAGGGAACACCTAGTAAGATTATCCCTTCCAAATAAGGAATTCCACACAATATGACTGCAGATATATATATAGAAAAGACTCTCAGAACAACTAATAAGTAGTATATTA